CGAATACAGATGTATCATGCCTTCAGTCAAATTCATCTTTAACTTTTGTGTTTTCTTTTTTATTTTATAAATTAACAGTTCAAAGTAGCAGTGTATGGCAGGGTTGTCTTTATTTAGAAATATTATCATTTAATAAGTCGAGGACTATGGTTGCATGACATATTTTTATATTCCTACTGTCTGGTACCACTGAGTCAGCGTTTAAAACTCAATTGGTTTGTTTTACGTAGATTTCAGAAGTGGCTGACAAGGAGGGGGCAGGAGAGGAAAGAAAGACGTCATTTCAAACCAGAACTGTACCAAAAAATAACAAATACACCAATGGAGAATGAAAAGGCGACTAAGTGATCGTATGAACAGAAGAACCCATATGACGTCTTCCAATACAAAACTATCAAATGTAATAATTCGTTTTTTAAATCTCATGTACATGTATATTGATGCATCCCTATTTTAAAGTGAATCTGCTGTAATTGGAAAAAGCGAGTCTCACAGCTAAAGGTAATTATCACTAATTGGTCTGCGGAAATGATTACAGCAGTAACTTAGTTTGCTCCATGCCCCAAAAACAAGAAGGGAGGAGCGAAACAAAAATAAACACTATTTACTGTTCACCGCTCCAATTGCCAATTATGCACGGTGGAAGTTAAAAGACTCCGCTGATGACCCCTGGCATCGTAATAAAAGAAGTGGAGGACTCTCATCTCGCTGATTTAATTAATATCAACTCATCTCTTACTTGTTTGCAATTAAGCTGTGATTACGATGTTTTGTTGTTTCCGGGTTTTCTGTTATAATTTCATTTCTTTACTCACCTTTGTCTCCACGTGCTTCACTTCCTGCCCTTGTGTGTTTACGTCTGTGTGATTCACTTCACCTGTCCCTTCTCCCCTTCTGTATTTAGTCCGTGCTTCCTCTGTTTGTGAATGCTTTGCTGCAGCCTTACATTCCTGAGACTCTCCAAGTTTTATTTGATTGTTTTATATATCTCTGGCTTTGTGAAATGTCTACATGATTTCATGTTTGAAACCAGAGCCCAGTCTGCTCTGATTGGTTAGCTGGCCGGCTCTGTTGTGATTGGTCAACCGCTTAGACCCCATTTACACGCAGATGCAAACAAACCGAATACGATATCAAAAAAGTCGTCCGTTCACACGAGACCGCTTGGGAGCGCTGGAGACGCTGTAGTACATATGCCGGGCCTGCAAGTGGCGCTGTACTTTCGCCACAAAATACACCAAAAGCAGCGAAGAAGACCCCCGAGCATGGTTGCCATGGTTGCCCTTCTGTTTATTCTCCGCGGTGGATTTAGCAACATGTAGTTCATGTAGTTCTCCATGTCCACTTGTTGCTGATGGTTGTGGTAGAGGAGCTGTAGATGTTGCACTAACATCTGTAGCATGGTCAGTAGCAGACAGTAGCTACTGTCACCATGCTACAGCAGTGAGCAGCAGAGGTGGGGAGAGGCGGGACTATGGCTTCATTGTTATCAGGAAATGATCGTATAGGGCGTACACACGGAGCCGTTTGGCCCCCCAGAGCGTTCCGGTTGCAGATCTATCCACCTTGGGACCCGTTATCGGTTTAGGGTCCGTTTCCGCGTTACCGTTACGGCCTCGTGTGAACGAACGGGCTAAACGAAAGAGAAAAGTTGCGGATACAACCGTTTGCGTTCTCGTGTAAACGGCACATTAGAGACGTCCCGCCCCTTAGCCTATCACGTACAATGTGTTGGAGCACTAGCCAATAGAAGAGCCAGTGTTACGTAGTGATGCCACTTTGTTCAGGAAGTAACTAAAGGAGTCCAATGGAGGCGTTTCAGGCAGGGGGGGGGAGTGTGTGGGAGAGAAACTCACTCTGGAGGGAACACATTGATTTTAGTCTTTGAAGACCATTTACATGCACTAAAACCTATATGACACACTACAGGAGAGGGGAAAACCCAAAAGGAAAATAGGGCCTCTTTAAGTCCTCTATCTGCTGGTTTTGAAAAGATGGATACTAAAATAGTTTCACAACGATTCCAACCTTAAATGTGTGAGATAGGACTGAGCAAAGTGACACACAAAGAGACCATCTCCATGCATACGTTCAGGCGCTCTGTGTTTGCATGCTTGCGTATGGCAGTCAAGAAGACGAGCCAAGTGACTCACCTCCTGCCAGAAAATGAAGACATACAATTAACATCGTATCCCATCATCCTCAGCTGAGCGGGCAGGCCTGTAATTGGCTGGCTGACCAGCCTGCGTGGCTCCGGGTGGCAATTTATTCTGGGAGCCATGCAGTTTACCCAGGGCGGCTAACGGCCCCTGTGCCATAACCTGGCTGAGGCAGCGGGGACATCATTAACACTTCACTGGGCCTGCAGGACACACACACACACACCCATCATCATCCACTGTACACACCACCCACTGCCACCATAGCACAGGGGCCAAATTGGAAGAACATGGTGGAAATAATCATCAGAATGTCAACGCGCCACTTGCAGTGAGTGTGTGTTTACTGACCGGCTGCAAATTAGGGTATTTACGGCATCTCCTGGTTAAGGAAGAGATTACCAGTTATTTTTATAATGACACAAAGGTTGTCCTTACCCCGAGTTGAATTCAGTCCCCGTTTTAGTAAAGACTAAAGCCAGTATATGAGAAATGGATGTAGTTGTAGAGATTTGTAGCCAATTGGTTTGTGGTGTGCAGTTTTGAAGTCTCAATATTTGGTATTTTGGCCATCGCAATCTTGTTTTTGTGGAACCAGGAGCAACCACAAGACGAGGATGGAGGTACGTACAACCGAACACTCGATGAGACATTTTGAGGCTACCAAAATGCTAAAATTAGCTTTCAAGATCCAAAAACACAGCGTGAAAGGTTTTGAAAACACGTAGAGCATCCAAACATGGACAACTCAATGTGGTAGCGACCTGTCAATCACAAGGAAGCCCCGCCCTTAAGCATACCCTCTTGTCTAATGAACTCTGAATGGGACCTTCATTTACTAAATGAACATTATGCCGTAGTGAAGAAGACTTTAAGCTAGAGATTGAGACCATCAGGAACATGTTTACTGAGGTCATAAATCCAGTTAGAAGTCGGGTCATTTTCTCATAGACTTCTATACAATCTGATGGATATTAAATAAAGGCTCTTCTCCATGTTCTTTCCCTTTTCAGACTCTGAGGTGCTTCTTGTTTCAGACTTATCTCTCTCTCTCTGTCTGACAGTGTGTGTGGCGGCATGTGGTTGTCTAACCCTAAAACAATGTTAGAGGGAGAGCGAGTAATGACCTTGCCTTGTCAAAAGGAAGACAGACATGTGTTACACACTTCCACATTGGTCCGAGGGCAACACTGTTACAGAGTCAGTCTGGACTCTGCTTTATGTGTCCAGTTAAAGGTCTGCATCTGCTGTCTGGCCTCCTCCTCTTCCTCCTTTTCCTCGCCACCGGCTGTCTCTAGGTGTGAGAGGAAGAGGATCATCTCAGAGATCACTGTGTGGATGTAAGGAGCCAATGAGTGTCGTTGTTTTCTTGCCGTCTTAATGTAGGAAAGACAGTCAATATTTATTTTACATCCCAATTATCCAGAGTGTTTTCAGGCTGAGTTAGCACGATGAACCACTAATACGTCTCCCCACAAGCCTCCTCTCCGTGTCCCCTTTTTGGCTGTGATATTCCCAATTCACTCGTTTCCTATCTCAAGACTCTTTCTCGCTCTCTAAGTACACACACACACACACACACACACACACACACACACACACACACACACACACACACACACACACACACACACACACACACACTCAGGCTCACAGCCAAATGGCTGTTCATTAAAGACAGGGACCTGAGGGGAAGCAATCGTCTGAGAGACGGAAATTGCGTGTCACATTAGATTAGCAGTGTAAAGCCTCTGGATTGGCTCCGGGGAATAAGGAATTATTTCAATTACATTATTTCAAAAAGTCTTTAAGCAATACCAATACCGATAAAAACAAATTAAGAGTGATTTGGGCTGATTTGTGGCGCTCTGAGCTGTGTTTTCTGACAATGTGCTGGAAATCAGATATGAATAATGCAGATATTACACGCTGCGTGTGTCGGAGTAGAAAGCAGATTATCTGTGACAAATAATACCATTGGTTTGCATTGTGTCTCATCAAATGGGAATGTTCCCAAGTGTCAATCACAGGAGTCTGGAGACACACACACACACACACACACGCACACACACACACAAAGGGAGAGTGTGAGTTAACTTGTATACCTAGCGCACTGAACTTAAGGTTTTTATTATGCTGAAAAGTCTGTCCTTTTTTTCTAAAGTTATGTTTGGTGCATGATGTCAAGGTAAATGTCTAATTGTTATTAAAGTTAAGTCAAAAGTCAAATCGACTGAAGACTGAAACCTCACACTGCACATTCTAGCACTTACAAGTTTTTGGCTTGGCAAAAAAGTGAAGATAATGTAGTAGAAATACATCTGGTATAGAGATAAATACCTCCACCATTGTTTCTTCATGGTCGCTTTGAATAAAAGCGTCAGCTAAACATGTTTTAATACATGAATCAAAGGCTTTAATGTCCTTTGCAACAGCTAGTTGGTACTGAAAATACAACAAGTGCAACACACAATATATAGAAACAATGGTGCAAATGGAATAATCGTGTTTGTAAAAATGCAGAAATAAGCAGGAAGTATATGTAAAGTCCAAAGAGTGCATCATATGCTCATACCGTAATTATCATAATAACAAAAGGATATGTTTTATGGACACCTATGGCACAACTTTTCTTCCTTTGGTTAAACTGAATACTGAATATTTTCCTTTGGACTCAATTTCACTGTAACACATCTACAGCGAGGGGAAGACATTGAAAGTGTCCATCGCATGCAGCGCGTCTCAAGGGGGGGCTATAGGGGGAGAGAGAGGGGAGAGAGAGGGGTGGGTGTGAGAGAGAGAGAGAGGTTTGTCACACTGAGCGCATGAAGGAGAGACCAGCAGAGTCCGACAGACCCGCAGCCAGTCCGCTCTCTGATGCCCACAAACTGCGACTCCAGCTCCCCAAAGTGCGCACATCTGAGCGGTAACTCTCTCTCTCTCAGCCTGAACATCTGGATCTGTCCGCAGCTGCTGCACGTTTTCTCTTTTCTTCCTCTTTTACTCGCTTTTTACTGCGCAACCGGGAGAAAGTGCCGCGTCCTGCGCAAGAAGAAGGAGAAGTTGAGAGAAGAAGAGTTTTGCTTCCCGTAGATTAAACGGTGAGTGGTGATGCTCCGGTGATCAAAGCTGTAATTGCTTTAATTGGTGATTTGATGGCAGAGCAGTGTGTGTTCTGTTCTGCCGGGCTTTCTCTCTTTCCTTGAGTGAGGGAACTTGTGCGCTCTCGCTGCAAAACCGGTCTCCGGTTTGACACGATGTAAAGACTTTGAGAACATTTGAGTTCTTGTAGAAATCTAAAACAGGGTCAAATCTAGAACTTTGCGTTTACAATTGGGTAAAAAGTCGCTAAATGTGTTAATTAATGGCGAAATTCATGCTGAATGTCTGCTTTAATTTGTCCAGGTTAAGTGTTTTAAAGTCGATTTAGTGTCGTGTGCAAACTTGAATTCTCATCCTGGTTTATTATCAGTTGAAAAAAGACCCCAAAAAAGCACAACTTTACTTCCTTATTTCGGCCTCTTATGTCAATCTTTCATTTTGAAGAAAAGTGGGAAGACGTTAATTTATACATCTCTTCCAATTCCCATATATTTACTGTCGTCTAACTGTTTTCGTATTTTGTTAATTATCTGCAATCATTAACAGACTTAATGCTTGTAACGTTTTATGTGCAAATTGTTCATTCGCATTTTAATAGGCCTATTGCTCATTTTGAGAAATTCCCGGGTACTTATTCTACTTAAAACGTTCCGCCTCGTATTCATTTTATTGGGCACAATTAGCATGATTTACTAATGATTGATTTACTGTGAAAACTCATTATTTAAAGAGAGACACAGAAGGAATGGTTTGTTATTTTCTGATCGCGTTTGAACGATTTCCCCCAATTTTATTTTACTTAACATCACGATCAGATTGTTTGCCTGCTTCGCAACGTGTGTGTTTTATTGCCAGTTTATTCCGTCGTAATTATGTACAGGCACAGTAGGCCTCTCCAACCTTTTTCTATTGAAATCAGTCCAAAACTGGGATTGTAAAAAAGCCTCTATAGTTGCAAAACCTTTTGTGTGTGTGTGTGTGTTAAAAAAAGTCCTAGAAACTTAACAAAACAGAAAAGAAATACGTATTATTAAAAGAGGCACAATGGGTGTGATAATCTAGAAAAGCTTTGAAGACAATCATTTCTACTGTAGGTATCATATTTGAAAGAAAAACAGTCAAAACATCTTGGGGGTCATACATACAAAATATCCTGAAAAATTAACAAATGAGAAAAAAAGTGATGTATTAATAACTGAGGGAAACTTCATTGTTAAAATCCAGAAATTATTTGAAGAAAATCAAAGTTGCATTCCATATGTGTCAGAAAACACATACTGTCCACTGAGACAAATGTAACATGTGATATTGGGCTATATGAATACACTTTGATTCATTCATTGAGAAAATCTTTGGGATCATACAAAAAATTCCATGAAAAATGTACAAAACAGCAAAAAAAGCAATGTATAATAAAAGAGTATTAATTAATTGTTAAAATCCAGAAATGCTTTAAAGAAAATCCTTATATTTGAGAGCAAAAAGGGTGTAAAATCTTTGCTGAAAACTTAACAACTAAGTCATTTATTAATTAGAAAGGGCAAATCCATTGTTACAATCTAGGAATGAAAATCATTTCTGGATGCCATATTGGGAAGAAAAGTGTCAGAAAATCTTTGGGATCATAAAACAACAAAATAGCAAAAAAATCAAGTGTAACAATCCTCAAATTCTTCGAAGAAAATAATTCCTTGTGATATTTTAAAGGAAAAATGGTCGAAAAAACCTGTTCGATAAATGTTTTCATGTCCTTCTTTCTGCTCCACCTCCACCTCTCTTCAGTACAAAAGTCATTTATTAATTAGATCACTGTTACAGTCTAAGAAGGCGTTAAAGAAAAATCTTTAGCCATATTGGGAAAAAGAAAGGGTCAGACAATCTTTGGGATCCTTCAAAAAAATCCCTGAAAACTTCACACAACAATCCACAAATTCTCTGAAGAAAATTATTTCTGGATGTGATATTTGATAGAGAAAATGGTCGTAAATATCTTGTGAAATACACTTTTTTAACGTCCTTCTTTCTCCCACTCTCTTCAGTAACTAACAGGGAGGTGAATGGACCTCCACCGGCCCTTCAAGATGGACGTCTCCTCCTATCTGCCAGCCCCCCTGGCCTCCCCCGCCCTCATGGTGCTCGCCTCCACCGCAGAGTCCGGCCGCGACGCCTCCGTCCCCTGCCAGGCGCCCAGACCCTTCGGAGTGCCCGTGTCCCTGGAGAAGGATCTGCACCTGCCCTTCCCCTCCGCCTCCTACACCTTCACCTCCATGTACCAGCGCCAGGGCCCCATGTCCGGCACCTTCCCCTCCAGAGACTTCCCTTCCTCCCTGCTCCACCTGCACCCCCAGTTCTCCCCCCCTGGACACCTGGACTGCTCCACCCTCAGCATGCTGAACCACAGCGGGGTGGGCGCCTTCAGACCCTTCTCCTCCCCGCAAGAGGAGAGGGAATCTGGGCTGTACCACTCGGCGTTCACCCCCGCCAAGAGGCTGAAGAGCTGCTTCCCGGAGACGGAGGGCAAGGAGTTTGACTTCGGATCCCCGGGAGGATCCTTGAAGGGCGGGGAGGATTCTGGGAGGAAGCTGTTCTCCATGTCCGGCCTGATGTCCGACGGAGAGGCGTCGTCCAGCCCAGAGGAGAGGAAAGAGCACGGTGAGAAGACCTGACACACACACACACACACACACACACACACACACACACACACACACACACACACACACACACACACACACAGCTTGTGAATTTACTCTAGGTGGAACTAAATTCTGATTCAACACTTGGTTATATTTCACATCATTCATCCAGATCTGCAAAGTAACTAAAGGTATAAATACATGCAGTGGAGTAGAAGCACATGTACCTCAAATGTGTACTTAAGTACTTGAGTAAATATAGTTACTTTACACCACTGGTAAACACATCTCTAAAGCATGCGCAGTTTAATTGGCACATCACAGACGGTGCTGACATGACACGGCACATTTACATAAATCCTCCACAGCTGCTAATGGTGACAAATTGAAAGCAGCGTTAAAACAAATATTTGTCCCTTCTGCTCTCTTCATCGTGTCGTCGGACAAAGTGTTTACAGCGGCTGGCGGGGACACGGATGAATTGAACAGTGTCACTTATTCAGCTTAGTGATCATTAGCCACATATGACCATTAGGCCGTGTTGGAAGTCAGAGTTTTTCTCGGCGACACAAATACGCGCGGAGGCTGACACGGGAGTTGGAAAGGAGTGACACCCTGTCAGAGATAACGAGGTGGCGGAGATAGAGAGGGAAAGGATGGAGGATGGAGGAGGATAGAGAGAAGGGGAGAGAGAAAGAGACGACAACCCTCAGCTCAATATGGCCGCCCACACCAGCCGTCTGATTTGTTGACAAATGAGTGGGAGAGGTGTCAGTCACAGGGAGACGCTCCTCATTACTCCCGGGGATAATTGCCCAACCAGGCGGGGGCACAACACTCGCCTCAGTGGGAGAGTAAAGGGGGGGGGTAGGAGAGTCAGGGAGTCAATGCTAGGCATGATGGGAAATCAAACCCCCCTCAGTGGCGGTCGCTGAGGAGAGCGCCTGACAACATGAAAGGAGAGAGAGAGAGAGAGAGAGAGAGAGCACCCAAAGGATCCGCAGATCAGAGGGGACACCATCGAAAATAATGACAATGAGAGAGAGGGGGGGTGGGAGACATGCTCTCACACACATCACCTAAAGGAAACTTTCATCCCACACATAAAGGCAAGAGCAGGGACGAGTTGAGGAAAGTTTGGATCGTGTGTGTGTGTGTGTGTGTGTGTGTGTGTGTGTGTGTGAGTGACGGGGCCGGGGAGGCGGAGTGGCAGCGAGGAATCTCAATATGGAATTTTAATAAGGACGGGAGAGGAAAGTGTGTGAGAGGTGTGTCTGTCTGACAGTGTTTGCTCGGAGCTCTCGTGCATTGCGTCCCTCACCTCCTGATTTTTAGGGGAATCTCATTTGGGGAATGTTGACAAGGACAAAAGACGAGGTGGAAGAGGAACATGGCGAGCGTCTCTCTGCTGCTCCAGACAAGAGTTTGGGAGAAAGAAAATGGATTTGTGCACATTGGAAGCTGCTTTCCCAGCTTTATCCAATTAGAGTGGAGCTCAGGCAAACTAAGAGCTTTAATGCAATTGAGCTCCCGGCACTTTTCTAAGTCTGACATACACTTGTTCCTCTTCGCTGAGTAACAGACAGTCACTTCAGGACCCAAAGTCTTAACGGTTAGGCTTGAGATCTTCTCGGGGTGGGAGAGTGATACTGCTGCAGCCATGGCCGTGCAAACACTCACTGAAGTTAAAACGATATCATAAAAACCTGCTTTTATACTTTTTAGGTTTTCTTTATATTTGATGACGTTCTGAGTTGTGTTGTGTGTTCTCCCCGTGTTGAGGGCTTCGTCCAAGTGTTCAAACTCAAAGTTATGCATAAGGAACATGCCTGAAACTGCCCTTAGGGGAGCGATTTTACACACAATATTGTTATTTTATATCAATGACCTACCCTGGGATACCTTACGTTTCTTAAAAAACAATGAGCTTTTTGTCACATGCCTCCACAATGAGCGAACAATAAAGAAAATGGAGAAAGATCCAACAGCCCAACTACATCAAATCACATTTTAATTACACTGAACAAAAATATAAACGCAACACTTTTGTTTTTGCTCCCATTTTTCATGAGATGAACTCAAAGATCTAAAACATTTTCTATAAACACAAAATAACCATTTCTCTCAAATATTGTTCACAAATCTGAAAACATCTGTGATAGTGAGCACTTCTCCTTTGCCGAGATAATCCATCCCACCTCACAGGTGTGGCATATCAAGATGCTGATTAGACAGCATGATTATTGCACAGGTGTGCCTTAGGCTGGCCACAATAAAAGGCCACTCTGAAACGTGCATTTTTGCTTTATTGGGGGGGTCTGGGGGGGTCCGAAAACCAGGCAGTATCTGGTGTGAGGGGTAGGGTAGGGTTAGGGTTAGGGTAATGTTGTGAATTGAGTGGCCCATGGTGGTGGTGGGGTTATGGTATGGGCAGGCGTATGTTATTATGGACGACGAACACAGGCCACATCTCATGAAAAATGGGAGCAAAAACAAAAGTGTTGCGTTTATATTTTTGTTCAGTGTATATAGCCCAATATCACAAATGACACGTGTCTCAGGGGACTTTACCGCTTAATGTACAGATCAACAAAACATGAATGACAGATTGAAACACATAATAAAAGGATTACCAAAGTCGATGAAATCAAGGATTCAGGATGATGTGTTCAATATGCAGACATAAAGACATGTTGCATCGATGAGTACAAACTCACTCAGTACAACCCAAGTCTCACTTATCCAGTCGTATGCTTGAAATGTTGACTAATCTAAACACTTAGACTCGCCCGGACGACTAGCATGTTTTCACAAAAGTGCGTGTTTTAAATAGTGCGATTTTAGTAATAAGTTGTATGTTTGGGAAGTATTGAGGTGGCGAAAGGAATATGTTTATTTATTTTTTATTTAACCAGATACAAAGCATTGAGATAAAATCTAATTTACAATGCTGACCTGGCCAAGAAGGCAGCAACGTTACACATAACACAGACATGTCAAATACAGAGAACTAAGTCAACAAAAACACTGAAAAGCAGTCACTACATTGAGCACATTAGGACCGTAAGAAAGGCTCTACATATTACTGCAAGAGCAGCTGGTGGTAAGGACCTCAGACAACTTCAATTTAAAACAGGCTATAGGGACAAGTTTACAGATGTGACAGTTTACATGGTTTTAACAGTTTTGCTTTAGTTAAGCCCCGGTTTCCTTCAATTCATCACGCCGTTTTTTCATTCTTTCTCCACACAGGAGAGTAATCGTTGAACAAGAGATACGTTTTGGATGAAGCATTCCTTCATGTACGCAATGCAAACTGGATTTGTTCACTGGGCACCAACAGAATGAACTTTGAGTATTTGTTAATGCTGTCGTTCCTCTCACAGTTCCCTCCATTCAACAAGCAGGTGTGCACCTCCTCCTCCTCCTCCTCCTCCTCCTCCTCCTCCTCCTCCTCCTCCTCCTCCTCCTCCTCCTCCTCTCTTCCTTTGCCAGTGGACGACTCTCTCTGTCCATTTAGTGTCTCCTGTCTCCCTCGCAGACCTGCCTGTGTTTTATCAGGGAATGTCTGAGACCCTGACAGCTGTTCAAACAGCCGCGCTGCGTTCAAAGAGCAGATGTCTTCACTGGAGCGAGGCGTGCTTATTTTCCTCAGGGAGACGCTTTCCCCCGCGGCCCTGAGCTGGGACTAAAATGGCCCTTTACCAGAAAAACCTGAGGGGAACAGTGGCGAAAACACACTGTGGCCAGACGCTGAGTGATGGAGAGAGAGAGAGAGAGTGTGTGTGTGTGTGTGTGTGTGTGTGTGTGTGTGTGTGTGTGTGTGTGTGTGTGTGTGTGTGTGTGTGTGTGTGTGTGTGTGTGTGTGTGTGTGTGTGTGTGTGTGTGTGTGTGTGTGTGTGTGTGTGTGTGTGTGTGTGTGTGTGTGTTGCTGTGGTGGCAGAGCGCAGAGAGAGCTGTGATAACTGGAGGCAGATGTTGGAGAGCCCCTGTGTTGTGATACTTGTTACCAGACTGCTGGTCCTGGCTGTCAGAAAAAACCTGCAGAGTAGACGAGACTTCAACAGATACACACACAATCCACTAGCTAGAAAACTGTTGTCGGACTCGGAGTATGGCTTATTTTATCAGTGAGTTTAACATATTTTCTTTCTGGAAAAATGACTCGGAGCCTGTTTTACAAAGTGACTTCTGAGCCATGCTGACACGTAGATCCCCGATGGTGGCAGCGATCACCAGATGTTTGTCATTTGGAAATCACCGTTTGGTTTGCAGAGGGCTGTGAAATATGTGGTTTGTTTTGATTAGCGAAACTATTTAAATGTAAAAGGAAATCTCATGTTCCAAATTTGGTGAAACAGTCGTCTTGACTCACAACTATAGCGAGTGTGTAACTGGACCGTTATAAAATGATTCACACACAAATTACAGTTCTGTTTATTAATTAAAGAAATGTATTTCCTAATCATTTAAATTGTGTGTTTTTATGCCATTAACATGTATCTGGATAACACTTATAATTTGTTATAGTTTACTGTTCACCCCCTGTCCATAATTCCTAATGGATGGCTTTACCGAAGACCTAACATGTCATTTGTTAATTAAGATAATGTCGGTAAGGCGCTAGTGTTTTTACGTTGACTTGTCAGGGACATTTCAAATGTAGCTTATCATGCTTTTCAACTGTACAATATGGTGGACATGCACATGTATTATGAGTCTTCTTTGGTCAGGTGAACATGAAAGCTTAAATAGACGTAATAGATGTAAATACAAATATTTAACAAAACCTCAATTAAACCAGGTCTTTAAATGAAGCACGAGCCGACTTTAACTTCTCTCGCTCACTTCAGACAAGCGACTCGTCCAAACCTTCACCTGAGTGAAAGGAAATCCTGTTGAACTTAAATCGAGGGGAAACATGTAAGCGTAACACACGCTGAGGATAAGTGTCCTCCACGCTCACTTATTCATGGGTTGTTAGCGGACCAGTGCGGCGCTCGAACAGAATCAATATTACACAGATTCATCTTAGCTCTGGCACATGGATTATCTCTGTGGTGAAGTTTGATGGGCGTAAACTGGTTTCACACACAGCTTATACCGTGTGTGTGTGTGTGTCTTTGAAGAAGGGTGTGTGTTCATATGGATGCCACTTTGATCTTAGTATATTACCGTTGTCAGGAGCTTGTGGTCATACAGTCAGTAAAATAATCCAAATTATGTCGTCACACAAGCATTTATTTTCAAGTTTCTATGGTGTATTGACATCTTTCTCTCTCACACACACACACACACACACTCACTAGGCTTTTTGTGCTGATTTGATAACATGGTTACTGTGTGTGTGTGTGTGTGTGTGTGTGTGTGTGTGTGTGTGTGTGTGTGTGTGTGTGTGTGTGTGTGTGTGTGTGTGTGTGTGTGTGTGTGTGTGTGTGTGTGTGTGTGTGTGTGTGTGTGTGTGTGTGTGTCTGTGTGTGTGTGTCTGTGTAGCAGTTGTTGACGGCTGTAGGTATTGAGTGCAGCTTCCTGTTGAAAGACACAGTGTTTACATCCCACTGACAGGCCACAGGAGATCAATAGCAACCACTCGATGCTCATGCATACACATGTAGTATCCGCTGTTATTCCCCAGGCGTACACACTCCGTATCAGGCGGACTCGCATGTGCACGCCATGCA